AGAATTAACAACAAAGAACTCTAGGAACTAACCAAAAAACATGCCGAAGAAAATGGAGATGAATTGGACACACACTAGGGAGGCCATTGAGTGACATCATGCACAAGACTGACCCTCGTGTGGAAGACAAATGGAAAGTGACGAGTTTACCTTAGTTTCCACAGTGATATTGAATAAATCATATGAGAAGGACATGAGAACCTATGGATAATTGTGTGGGACAATAAAAAAGGATTACAGAGAACAAGATGGAATGGGGATTTGTTGTAGAAGCCTTTAGTACCACTCGGAATGGAAAGAGATCGAGAACTGTATCATTTTATTATTGTCACAAATGAACTGAATTTTCGACCTAGGATTCGTTGAAAAAGTAAAGCAGTTCACATTGCCATGCTTTATAAAACGTCAAACAATAGGCACAGAAGAAACCAGAAATACAATGAAACTATACTAATGGGAGATGTCAGGGGAAGAAAGAATAATTGCAAGGAGAATAATGAGACATAAAAAGTGAATGTATCTGCTTTGTTCAGAATAATTTTCTGCCGCGTCACTGACATTTCCCAGCCACTAGATTATAGAGCCCGAAGAACTCCTGGAAGACATATCATACTTCTGTACAAAACAAAATTTACCCATAATCGAATTACACTCTACCACAGTGCACAAGTTTTATTCTTATATCAATGATACTTCTGTGCATGGTTCGAATCAGAAGTCAGGCACTTCATGGATTGATAGAATGTTTTATTTTTTCGGTTCATCCACACCAAACAAACTCTCTTAGAGACGTTTTTAATCAAAAGGCTAACTAAAATAGAATATTCCCATATAAGTTAGTTTCATGAGCATGTAAAGCCTTAATTAGCCCAAGATTATTTATTTTTTAAAAATTATTCCTTTACGTTCCCAGCGCTGGAACATAAGAGACCTTCAAACTAGAGGCTTGAACTCTCTGTGGCCGTGATGTTTATTTTTACGGGATGGAGGTTCTTAGTCCCATGACCAGTTTTCTCCCTTTACCAGCCTTATTACTGGCTTAGTGAGGTGGAGGGATGCGTCGGTGACCGGCGATCCAACCCCGGATCACACGCGTTGTCGGTAAGCATTCTGCCGGTGTGCCACCGACGCACACTAGTTTATTATTTATTATTATTTTATTGACTCCCGATTCATTTGGAATACAGGGCTTCAAGGTTCCAGAAAAATTTGTGTTTCTGCAGACTCGAACTCAAACCTTCCTTCTTTATTGGGCTCACTACCGTCTTAGCGAGGTTAAATAGTGCTCTGGTGGTGGAGGAGAGGGCCGAACACCGGACGACATGCGTTACTGGTAATTATTCTACTTGTGAGCCTCTACTTAATTGAAAACTGTGTACATCCTTGTCTATCTTTCTAAAATTTCACAGTTTATAGTTATTCAGTGGAGGATACTAATAAATAGATTGTCATCTTTAGGGAATTAATGAGCACTAGGATAATCAATGAAAAAGAAACGTTAGAAGGTAGTGATAACACTAAGGAGAATTCAATAACAACTACAGAAAGGGATGATATTATCACTTTTGACGAATTATGGTGTCAGTGTGTGAGGTTTATGATTACCCAAATAAAATTTAATTCTTCCCTTTTCTGGTTTTGTTTCCTCCAATTAGGTATGTAGATCATTAAGGCAGAAACTTCAGGCCGCTAGCTTGAAGCCCTATGTTCCACTGGGAAACGTGAAAGAAAAAAACTGAGTCAGCATCAGTCTATGGTATCTTCACCTCTTAGTTTTACTCACTCAAGGCCTCTGTAAATTGCCTTTGCTGGGCTCCAAGAAGACGCCAATAAGTGATAGATGTAAAATTCTGGTGCATGCCAATGGCACAGTGGTAGAATGCTTGCCGACCACGCATGTGATCCGGGGTTCGATCCACGGCCACTGATGCAGTTCTTTACCTCACGAAGCCAGTAGTTAGGCTGGTAAATAGGAAGGTTGGTCATGAGGCTAGGAACCTCCATTCCATAAAAATAAACACCAGTGCTACTGAAACTTCAAGCCTCCAGCTTGAAGGTACCTTGTGTTCCAGCATTGGGAACATAAAGAAATAAAAAAATACCTAAAAACAGTTCTCACTATCACAGTTTCATTTATTCAGCTGTGGACTCCTAACTCCATCATGTTTTCGCCCTTCCATTCCCTTTCACATTATAGTTCCTTTCAATTGTTCTTTCTACCGTTATATATTTACTTTTATGAAGTGTGGAAGGTGCAAATTTCAATGTTTGAAACTAAGTCAGTCAGTTAGTCAGTTACATTTTCATCTCATGAAACAGGTGATAAATTGAAAACACCACGCATAGTATGCAGCAATCTGTAATTATTTTCTTCACATTATTTTTGTTTCACTACTGGCATTTAAAAAAACTTGTTTTACAAATCAAATTATATTTTAATTTTGTACATTTTGAAAGTTGGTATTCACTAGGAAAATGCTTACATATGGTATACACATGTATACTATAGTGATAGCCTACACATGTGTTGTGCTTCAATTCAGGTGTCGATATTTTTCATCTGTATACGTGATATGTGGATGGTACTAGTTCCTACAGAAATAAAATTTACGCTTGAAATGAAAAACCAATCAAAAATTCACTTTTTTGTGTGCTGAGAAAATAAGAAGAGCTGACAGCACCTTGTAAAGGTACGTTCATAAGAAAGTTATATCTTACGGACAGATGATGAGTTTCTACAATTGTGTGCTCAATGATATCGGATGTATCTATAACCCTGACGCTCTACAAGAAGAATAAGACCTTCTAGAAGAAATCTTCATCTGAAAATTCACAGATATGAAGTGGTGAATGTACCAAACTTTATATGAATCTTGATTTCAGGGGTGACCTGACATGTGACATCTTTAAAAGAAGAATTTCATCATCTGTGAGGAGAATATTCTTCGTAACAACGTTAAGAGTAGTGTTCTCCAGTTGGTCAATGGTCTGGTCACTCCTTTATGCTCATAGCAGTTTATCAACTCCCATGGATCTAAGTATATTAACCTTTCGATGCGCATCGTCTCTAAAAGTCTTCAGGAACGTTATTAAGCATAGTTAGGCTCCATAAGGAGTGAAGTAGTTACACTAGTGTCCAATCAAAATATCCACTACAGTCCTACAGGAGGTCAATCATGAGTCCGAATAGCACAGTGGTAATGTCTCTGGCTGCAGTACTGGGTGATGCGGGTTCAAATATCAGGTGGGACATGATTTCTTTCGAGGTTGCAGAAACACCTTGCTGATGAGTGCCGACTGGCACGACACTTAGATACAAGGCTTCCTGTGGCCGACTGCCTCCAACCATCTAATATCATCAAATCAATGTGCACCGTAATGAGGAGCCACCTAGTGGTGTGGTGGCCAAATTGCAAACCTGACTGGTGGAATTCAGTCTGCACCAAGGAAAGGACTAGACATATCACACTTATTACTAGAATACAGTCAAAATTGAACAGCTTGCTTACACTGACCGATGAATCGAATTCCTACTTCAAGATGATCTAAAAAGTGAAGAGCAACCTGTCAAGGGCAAGACGTTTTAGCCTTTTTTTGTATTGTTGAACTACTATCCATCCAGATGCAGAAACTGACGCTTTGTCTACAAATGAAAATTTTACAATCACTTCTACTATCATGTCAATGAATACTGTGATTTTTAACCAATTTGTTATGATTTCTTCTCTATTTTTTGTTTAGCTATTTCTAATTCTAATTATGCATTCATACATATTTTTAAATTAGCTTACGGAAGTTAAACCTTAGTGTTTCATTCATCCATCTATCGATGCATCTATGCATCCATTAAATACAGTCCATTAGAGTAGAGTTGGCTATTGAATAAACCAACCACAACCTTTTGGGATAAAAGAAATAGTCACCTGAAAATGTTGTCGACTTTGTGACTTCATACAATTTTAGGTCAAACATTCTTTTATGCTTTATAAATGAACTAAATACTCTAAAAGAAGATGTGTTCATTTAATCAGTCAAATAGAACCACTCTGAGCTTTGAACAGAAATGAATTTCTTGAGTCGCATAATTCCAAATGATCATTTTTTTCAGGCACATCATTAAGTACGTAGTATTATTTCGAGTATTATCTTTGATTGGTCAATAAATCGGCTAGTATTACAGAGGCCACCTGATATGAATATGATATCTTCTGGTTGACAGGGATTGATAGTGAGTTCTTTAAAAACATAGTTATAATCATGCTCAAATGTAACTCAATAGCTTCCATCTTCTTTCTAGATAACATCTGCAGTGCTTACTTCACTGCAAAGTCACACACAACTACACCTAAAATTCAGGGTCATGGAACTAAAATTCACAATGATTCACACATTGAAATCTCGTTCGCTTGAAAAGAAATTTATCAGAAAATATTCTAAGGGAAAGTTGTGACCTGCGGAAAGTCCACCAAGATTCCTATTGGAACAGTTAGTCACCGATGGCACTGGCTTACGGTTCACGCTAGATATCCCTAGTTGGAAGTAGTTTACCTTTTAACCTGAAGGTCCTAGGTTCTACCTCTGGTAGGGTGAAGGGATTCATAGGTGCAAACTATTGAAGAGCTCCAAACAAGGGTGAAACAGTTACTCAGTACTCCCTAGTTTTCATTAGTTCTCTAACTGATGTCAGTTTGTGAACAATTTTAAAATCAATAAATTAATTCCTGTAAGCCCACCTGTTTGTGAAGAAAGCGACATTCGCACAGAGGAAAGAGTAAAATATATGTTGGTTTTTAAAATCCACTGAGTTTTTGTCTTCGACTGAATGGCATATATAAAAAACAATCATTTAGAAAATTAAACACTGCAGGTATTCCCTCAATAGTGGGAAAATAGACGTCATTTTTTCACAGTGATTGACAAAAATAATGAGGATAAATACGTATTAGAAAATGTTTGTTACAAAATAAAAAAAAAGAGCAAACACTGTGTGTGTGACTTACTCTCTTGTACTTGTTACATTTGTTAACAGGATAAAATTTGTTCGAACTTTTCTTAAACTAGCCAAAATTTGTGCAAATGGTGTTACAATCGGTTCATCGACTTGACTAAAAATACAAAGAGAACCACGTCTTAGTACAGCATTTCTTGAATTTGGATTAGACTGAATATTCTCAAGAAAATTACGCTTTCTAGGATCTGTGTAGGCATCAGCGCCACGTGGATTTATACGTTTTAACAGGGAATTTTTTGGTGTAGGCAGTTGGCCTAAACTATCCTCTGATCGTTCAGAATAACTCTCATTATTATTATTAATAGTAGAGGTATTAGCATCCTTAGAGATTAGTATATTCTCATGGGATGATTTAGCTGAGGAAAATAATTTTGAGTGTTTAATACGTCGGAAAGATGATTTTGCTTTGAATACAAATCGTGTATCAGGAGTTGATAACAGTGGGTTTGTTTTACCGTCTTCTGTGTATGGCTTTTGTACATCCACTGAGAGAATACTTTCTTTTGATTTACGAAAACGTTTCAATGGTTTGACTTTTAATAGGCTCAAGCGTTTCTTGAATGGAGTCTTTTTCCCATCATCTACACTTCGTACAACTTCTGACTTCCTGGATTGACGTATTTTACCAGTTTCTGGGAGGTCTTTTTCACAATATGTTGGAATTAGACTGTGTGCTCTACGCTTACTTAATACACTGTCTGTTGGTTCATTGTGTGCTTTTAAATCATTGGTTAGAAATGCTTTATTAAAAAGACTAGATGAGTATTTATCATCAAGACCAATTGATTCAGATTCAGCTAATTTCGCTGTAGTCTCCACCATAATTGTTGGTCTACGTCCAGTTTCATAATCAATATGTAGGCTAGGTCTTTGATTTGACGGGAAAAGATCTGAACAGGGCATTAAATGCGTTGAAGGGATTACAACGTCTGGTAGACTTCGTCTCTCTTGTCTAGGATAACATCCATTAATTATACTGTCGTGTGAATCTTTGCGTAGTTTTGTATCAATATTACTACAGCCTGTATCATTATTTTCATTATTATTATTATTATTGTTATTTTTATTGTTATTATTATTACTGTTCTCCGGGTCAGTTTTATCACACTTATGTCCACGTGAGTATTTCTGTTTACGATGCTTCGATTTATCCTTTGATTTATTCCCTTTATTAGTATTAGTAGAAGCAGCGTTGTCTTGTTGTTTACGACAACAAACTATCCACATTCTCCAAGTTCCAAATGACTTTATCGATTTTTTTATTGTTTCTTTTTATAGTTTTTAGTATAACACGTTTTTACTTGAGATCAATAAGAATCGTGCTACATGGAGGTTAATCACATTTGATTTCTTTCTTTAGAATAACACAAAGGTATATGTCGAAGGCTACTTTCTTTTTTTATCGTTGCTTTTTCTTTCTTACACAAAATACGTATTTAAACAATGATTAATATAGGCTTTGTATAGTGAGGTCTTCTTCAATCGGATGAGTACATCTCATGTATAGAGATTTACAGATTTTGAAGTGAATTCTTTCCTAGGATGAATGGAATATCTGTGGTATATATCCAGATGCATTAGCAACAGTAGTAGAAGTGAAAAATAATGAGTTCATAGGACACTGAATAGTTGCTGACGCTGTTTTCGGTGACATTTCTATTATTACTATTATTTTCATCAATATTTCCCCAAAAACAAAGATTGAAATAAAAATTTCCCGTAAATTTCTTCTCTTGTTAGAAAGTTTTTTCCTCCATAGGTGAAATATATAATAATAATAATGGCAATAGCTATAGCAGTATAATTTCTACCGACTAAAATATCCAATCATCTCATAAAATGTGATTTGCCTAACAATACATTAAAAACAGGTTTGTCCGTTTGTCCGTCTCTTTTATTTTTTTCACCTGGATTATAGTCACTCGTCTATCATTTCTTAGTATTATTGATTAAAAATGAAACTGCCAATCTAATCTTAGTATTGCTGTTCACTCTATACCTGTCTGACCTTCAGAAACTGACCAATCATATTCACGATCTACCCACTCATGTTGATGAAGAAAAAAACAGAAATATGGAAGATAATAGCGCTTTTTTTGTTTTGTTTTGTTTTATATTGTTTGTTTGTTTGTTTGTTTACTGTAATTATACTACTGCTGGGCCAAGCGAAATCATCAACCTCATGATGATGTTGATTACTCATCGGGATTGTAGTGTTTACTTTGAGTATATACTATGTGGTTTTGTGAAAAACAAACAAGTAACAGAAACGACTGAAATGTTTATAATCCAAATCTCTACCTGAGAAATCCATAACTAAATGTATTAATCCGCACCTCATTTACAATTATATGATGGATGTCTGCTGAAGTTCTATTGAGAATCTACGGTCGGTGGGTTTCTCCATCTGAAAAAGGAAGAGAATTCTCTTCTTTGTAAAGTTTTCACCAGTGATTCCACTGGAAATCGAACGTAGAGACTTTTGAGTTACCAGATGACCAAATTAACATTCAGTCAATAGGAGGGGGTCGAATCGCCTGTGACACTTAACGCCTACCGATTCATGATTCATCCAATTTGTCGGCTTGTGTCTACCTTCGTACACGACATCGCATTGGAACTCCACTAGTCATTAGTTGGCTAGCAGTAGCGATAAATAGATATAACGAAATGACAGGAGTTAAAATTCACAGGCCATTTGATGCCTTATCAGTGATTAAGCAATAGCCTTACCATTTCGTGACCTATGAGGTTCTATGTTCGACCGCCAGTGGAGTCGCAGGTGCCTAGTGATAAAGAGTTTCAAACTAAGACGACATCGCCTTTCACTACTAATTCCTGGTTTCTAACGGTTCCCTCACTAATATCTCTTAGTCAGAAAATGTCTAACCTTAATCCACTCAAATTTTTTACCTCAAAAAAGACAATTTTTAATAATGCCAAACTAAGTATAATAGGGAAATTCCAGTGAACAGGCTATTTATTTCTCCCTATACGTTAAACAAATCCATTTTGGATAAATAGTGTCTATTGAGTCAGCTAGTACATATGAATTTTGGGGAACGTTTTCAGGATTATTCATTGAAATAGAAATAGTTTATAGTCACTATATAGTTTGACATGTGCTACTGATATGATTTGTCAGTAGTGTATATATAGGTAGAGATATAGAGATATATATAGAGAGAGATTTGATGTCAGAGAAAGCAAATGATACAGCGTTGCGAAACTATATGGAAGACGTGGAAGGAACAAAAATAGCACAGAGACAGTATGAAGGATGCCCAGAAGTAGAACAACACGGATATCTGTGCAGATAGTGTGTTGAAGATAAGTTGCAAATAATTTGGCTATGTAGGGATGCCAAATCACAGATAAACATTCCTTTACCAGGTCTTTCGTTTTCTGTATACCATTGAAGAATGGATAATTCCATACTAATTGGATGCAGTTAGTAGGTAATTAGAGAAAGTCGGTAAGAAGCCCTGAAATTACATTTTGTGCTTACTAGGACTCGTCAGCATGGCGCATATATTAACTTGAAGGAAATGATGTCCTTTCGGCGGTTAGCGTCAAATATTCACCACTTAGTCCTACATTTAGAGGCATTACCGTTGAGTTGTTTGACATCATTGGTAACTGTGACATTGGAAGTCTTATGTTATGTCATGGGAGAACACTGTTGAATTCTAAGCAATTTAAAGTGTGATATCTATGGCTTCTTACTAAAAGATGTTCATATTAAATACCTACGGGGAAGAGAATTTTTACAAAATTTACAACATTTAATACCCCCCCCGCTCTTTACACCTCTTCGGATGGTGGAATAACTGCATTCAATGTAAAATACCCAAACTTTATTGAAATTTATTAAGTTCTTCCTGTTACCCATCAAAAGTAAGGAATTTATTATTAATTATAATTATCCCTATGGTTTCTGAATCGGACATAGGGCTTAAGCAACACATTTCCATTTCATCAAGTTCTCTGCAATCATCTGTTGCTGGCTCCACGACTGCCCATAGGCTCTCCTCTCAAACTTACACGATTACTTCAATATCACCCTTTGGATCAACACTCAACTCGTTGCTTCTCATTCGACTTCCATTCAGGTTTACTGTTGGGATGCGAAGTAAGTCAGCCTTATTCTCACCGTATATTCTATCTATCTCCATGTTGTTTGGCGAATTTGTCGGGCATTAGATTCTTCACTGGTTTGTTCCTAGAATTTCTTGTTTCTAATTCTCTCTCTGGCCATCTGATCTTCAATATCGACCCAGCGAATGCAGCTGTTCATAAAAGTCTGAAGACTGTTGGAAATTCTTTTCACGGCGTATCAGGTATAGGAGAACTAATTGATTAAACATTGGTGTTGAAAGTCAGAAGAAATCCTGCAGAAGATTTCCAAACTGACTTCAGATTGATGAAGGTCTGCTTTACCTTGATAATTCTTGTTTTGACAGACACCCGCATCCATTTCGCCTTTAGTTGAAACAATGCTTCCCAAGAAAAATGAATACAAGTGACCTCTTTCAAATAACCTCCTTTGATAGCGACCGTTGCTTGTTATGCTTAGTTCACATGAAGTCCTGTCTTTACTGCTTTTTCTGTAAATCTCTTAAGCAGTAATCACGTTCAAATGTTGTGCATTTAATTTTCTATTTCCTATTGATCATTACATATTGGAGTAAATGCTCAGTGTCGTTGATATTTTAGCCGGAATTATGGAAGTTCCAGTGATGTCAGAAGTTTAACGCGATGCTGTTTGATTGATGGTGGCTAATGGCGAAGTCTTTGCGTAGGTGGCATAGCGGTTAGCATGCCCGCCGACCATGCACATGGTCCGGGGTTCGATCCCCGGCCACCGACGCACTCCTTAACCTCACTTAGCCACAGTAATAAGACTGGTAAAGAGGGAAGGTTGGGCATGAGGCTAGCAACCTCATTCTGTAAAAATAAACACCACTGCTAAAGAAACTTTAAACCTTCATCTTGAAGCCTTATGTTCCACTGGGAACGTGAAGGAAATAAAAGAAATGGTGAAGTTCAGCATACGCTTTTCGTCAGTGAGTTCTCAATGAGCAATAGTGCTAC